GGAGGGAGGGAGGGTCAAGCCGAGTCTTACGTAAGCTTTCTGTTGTAAAAAATACCCCTGAAAGTCCCCAATTTTGGTTTTTTTAGCTGGTAAACACCCTGACAATTAAATTCCAATCATTCATTGCATCTTTTTTTTGCCGATTTTCTTCAAAATACAAAAACCTGAAAATTCCAGCTATCTTACCAGGCTCTCTTCGTTCTTTTTTTTTCTGGAAAAATGGGGGCGGGTGGTCCTTGCCAATCTTACGTAATTCAAAGGGAGGGGGGGTCAGAGACTTCTTATAGGGGGGAGGGGGAGTCATAAAGTTGGCAAAATGTCTTAAGTAATACTTGAACGGCCCAAAGTGGTTTTCAGTGACCAACTACAAACATCTTTTTTCCAGGATATCAAAAAAAAACATTATAACTTATTTTGGCAACAGTGTTGAGTTAGGAGTTCGCCTTCCCGCGGATGAATTGGCAGACAATATTTATCACGAGATGAACTGCCATAATATGCCATCGGATCCCCCTCCGTCCCCCCTCCATAGCTCCCTTCCCATTTACGAGCCAATCTATTTATTGTTTACACGTAAGGGACTTGGAATCACAAAATACGTGTTGCATAGGGCACCGCGGCCTTTGCGGCACTCCGAGTTGGACACCCTCATAAAGGAGAGAGAGGAGAAAAAAATTGTCTACACAGAATTTCCACAGCTGTTGTAATTATTTCCAAGAGCTTCGTTCATCGGGTCTTGAAACTCCGAGGAGCGATATTAGGACGCTGCCAAATAGCATTCAATGGAGATGTTGCATGTGTGAGGGATTTTCGATTTGACTTTTGATTCTTATGTAAAAGTTCGCGAGAAACACGATGGTACCACTGGTTTTCTCTGAAATCAACTCCCAAGCTCAAAAAAAGCTCTCAAGTTGAGGCTAAAATGGAGGGGATATCCCACGCTATCCTGAGAGTCCACCTGTACATCAAAACAAACTCTCCATGCAAAGATAGGGAGAAAATGCATTGAAAGGGCTGCCTTTTTATTTGGGGACTCAAAAACTGAAAACACGGCATCACTGCTAATGTATTTCCTCCCTATTTTTGTATAAAGCGTTTGTCTTGATGTAGAGGTGGACTCTGAGGATAGCGAGGGATATCCCCTCTATTTTGGCCTCATCTTGAGAGCTTTTTTTGAGTTTGGGAGTTGATTTTAGAGAAAACCAGTGACACCATCGTGTTTCTCGCGAACTTTTACATGAGAATCAACAGTCAAATCGCAAATTCCTCACACATGCAACATCTTAATTTGAACTGCAGCGAACTGATAATCGAGGGGCCTTCTCCTGAATCAAAATAGTGGATGGTTTTCCATCAGAGCAGATCTGCAGGGCACAGGGAAACACCTCATCAAATGTTTAATATTTTCAACCACGCTGCTCAAAAATAATAAAACACACTCGGTCGCTGGTACAAAATTGCGAGCTTGTCCCTCTATCTTATTTTATTCAGTCATTATACGCAATAAATCAGCGCATGCTCACAATTATTCCTATGAGAAGGGTCTTGCTTTGCGCGATTACGCAGAAAACGCTTGATCAAATGAACATACTCAAATAAAAACGCAACTATCCCCATTGTTACATGAGCTCTGAGACTCGTAAGGATGCATGGGTAGCAGGGTCCATGTCACAATCGAGACAGTTCGTTTCAATTTAAATACGTCCGTGTACCTGGAACACGAAACAGTGGCCCATATTCTTATATCGAAAAGTGACGTTGCATGCTTTGGGATAAATCGATTGATTTGTCGTTTAAGCCAGTGGCGTGGCGTCCTTCGATACACGTCGATATTTCCCCATTTGAAGCTATGGTAAAGAATCGATTATTAAGGTGTTCGTTGCGAACACCCTGATAATCGATCCTTTCCCTTAGGTTTAAATGACAGAATAATCGATATATCGCAAAGCACGCCACGCCACTGGTTTATACCTATGGAAAAGGGTCGATGAACGGGAATTTTGTAACAAAACGCCTTCATAATCGATATTTTACTATAGCTTTAAATGGAAAAATCGATGATCGATCATATACGCCTCGTCACTGAAATCGAAGTAATTGGACGAAAAATGAAAGGGTTTGACGCCTGGAGGAATACATGGAATATAAATGAGGTGAAATTACAGCTAAATTGGACTCGTGCAATATTGCAAGCTGCTAAATTTCGAATCGTCGGGAGACGAGCCTCCGTCTCCGATTGGCGGGAGGAATTCGATGGTTCCATATCACGATCCCGGGTTGGGAACTGCGTGTGCCAATGGAACATCGGTGTCGAACAAATTGAGCCCACTTCGTCACTGAGCCGGTGTTTGATTGAGGTGCGGTATAATTATGACAAGATGATTGTTGCCCCAGATCGTTTGATCGGCGGCGTTGCCAATTTGGCGAGTCGTCGACAGGCGGATTCTACAGTAAAAAATGTATACGCAAGCTGATGATTTCATTCTTATTCTAATTCTGTAGGGCAGTGCTTCAATGACGCTATAATGCATGAAAAAATTTCAAATGCATCCTTAAAATGGCACCAACGGCGAAGCTTTCTCTCCGTCCTGCAAAATCGTCATGCAGTTTGCAGTTAGGCGGATTCTACAGTATGAAATGTATACGCAAGCTGATGATTTATAATTTTTTTTTCTAATTCTGTAGGGAAGCGCTTCAATGGCGCCAGAATGCATGACAAAATCTCAAATCAAACCGAAAAATGACACAAAATGCGAAGTTTTCTCTTCGTTCTGCAAAATCGTCAGTTTGCAGTTAGGCGGATTCTACAGTCTAAAATGTATGCAAGCTGATAATTTCAGTATTTCCTAATTCTGTGGGGAAGCGCCTCAATTACGCTGTAATTCATGAAAAAATTGTAAATCCATCCTTAAAATGACACAAAAGGCGATGTTTTCTCTTCGTCCTGCAAAATCGTCAGTTTGCAGTTAGGCGGATTCTTCAGAAAATCATGTATACGCAATATGATAATTTCAGTTTTTTTTTCTAATTCTTTGGGGAAGCGCTTCAATGACGCTGGGGTGCATGAAAACATTGCAAATCCATCCTTAAAATGACATAAGTGGCGAAGATTCCTCCTTGTCCTGCAAAATCGTCGGTTTGCGGATAGGCGGATTCTACCGTCTAAAATGTATTCGCAAGCTGTTAATTTCAGTTCTTTTTCTAATTCTGTGGGGAAGCGCTTCAATGACGCTGCAATGCATGAAAAAGTTGCAAATCCATCCTTAAAATTGCAAAAATGGCGAAGTTTTCTCTTCGTTCTGCAAAATCGTCAGTTTGCAGTTAGGCGGATTCTACAGTCTAAAATGTATGCAAGCTGATAATTTCAGTATTTCCTAATTCTGTGGGGAAGCGCCTCAATTACGCTGTAATGTATGAAAAATTTGCAAATCCATCCTTAAAATGACATAAGTGGCGAAGTTGTCTCTTCGATCTGCAACATCGCCAGTGTGCAGATAGGCGGATTCTACAGTCTAAAATCCCTACGCAAGCTGCTAATTTCAGTTCATCTACTAATTCTGTGGGGAAGCGCCTCAATTACGCTGTAATGCATGAAAAAATTGCAAATCCATCCTTACAATGACAAAAATGGCGATTTTTCCTCTTCGTTCTGCAAAATCTTCAGTTTGCAGATAGGCAAATTCCACAATATAAAATGTATGCAAGCTGATAATTTAATTTTTTTTTTTTTTTTTTTTTAATTTCTAATTTCTACAAAAGCGCTCCAATATGACGCTGTAGTGTATGAAAAAATTGCAAATCCATCCTTAAAATGACATAAATGGCTAAGTTTTCTCTTCGTTCTGCAAAATCGTCAGTGTGCAGATCGGCGGATTCTATAGTCTAAAATCTATACGCAAGCTGATAATCTCAGTTTTTTTTTCCTCCAATTCTGTAGGGCAACGCTTCAATGACGCTGTAATGTATGAAAAAATTGCAAATTCATTCTCAAAATGACACAACCGGCGAAGCTTCCTCTTCGTCCTGCAAAATCGTCAGTTTGCAGATAGGCAGTATCGTTGGCTAGCCAACCAATATGACGGTTCCTCCGGGAGGGGCGCGCCGAAGGTGGCGGCGGGAGGGGGCTCGGAATAGAATCCAAACACTAATATCAGATCATGCGATAGGGTTATTAGGATATCATTGAATCACAGAGGATGGCAGTTTAATGTGTAGGTGTTACTCCGCGGGCCCGGGGAACCCTGGTTTACGAGCGCCGGTCACGAACTCCGGACCCGGGCACCCCAGAGCCCGGACCGCGGACTCCGACCCGGCCGTAAATCATAATTCGTCATTCGGCTCACCCGCTCCTAGTTTATTCCCTTTCCGCCGCGGTTCTTTTTTTCCGCGCACCCCCCCCCCCCCCGGCCGGCGCTGGCGTTAGGATCCTACGCGTTGCCGTTTTCCTGGGTGCGTTCCACCCAGGAATCAACTAGACTAAATTTCGTATTAAGGAACTAAAATTTCTGGCTCATCCCTAAAAACACGCATCCAGATATGTTCCCAGTTGCGCATTCGTCGTTTCTGAAATGAGCCCTGGAAAGGGTAACGACGCACGAAGAAAGAAGCTCACATGAAAATTGCGGTACGACCTTGACGTCTCGTTGAGACCATTGAAAACTATTTTTCGAAATTGAATGCAAAATTAAATGAAAGGCGACCGGGTTTTGCTTTTGGGTGCTTTTCAGCGAGTGTTGTAATACTCAGCCCCTGAAAATATGTTTCAGATTTTTCACAAATGTGGAATTTCATGAGATATTTCATGGAAATTTTCAATATTTCATATTTTTAATTTAGACGTATTTCTATGAAAAAGATTTATGTGGAGGTGAGAATTACGGAGTGTGTTCGTTAGTTCTCTGGACGTAAGATTGAATGAGAATAATTATTATTCTCATTATTCGCTTTATTATTTAATAATAAAGCGCCAGTGACGTCAGCGGAGATGGATGACGTCATCGCGGCTCCTCGTAGTGGTCATTAACTCATGAGCCCTGTCGATCCACAACGCTCTCGTCTCATTCCCGCGGCTCATGAATCCCGCATTCAGTGGGCACATAGCTCCGTTTAAAATCCGTTTAAAACCCGCTTTTCCAATTCTTCAAAAGAAATCACGCCCACTTTTACATTGTTTCTTATCCAGCTTTCTAGAGCACACCCCATATTTCTCACCTCCACATAAATATGTTTGATAGAGATATGTCCATTTCACCTGTGCGACCCTGTCCTTGTAATGACCCATTGGAATCTAATTGGCTTCCACGAGACCTTTTCACCAAGAAAATCGTTGCCAAGAAATTAAGAGAGGGTCTCCTTTTGTCTCGGCTGATTGGTAAATAAATTGGGTATTTTTGTGGGTTGTATTTGATGGTGACTGGGAGATTTATATTTGTTTGTTGTGATGTTGCAGACTTGAGCGATAACGCGGAGATCGGCGGTGGGAGCGGCCCGGGGAGCGAGTCGCCGCACGCGCTCAACTACTCGAGCATGGGCACCACCGTCGGCGTCGGGGTCGGCGTCGGGCCCACCGAGGGCGGCGTCTCCTCCACCGAAACCCTCCTCAGGAATATCCAGGGCCTCCTCAAAGTCGCCGCAGACAACGCCCGCCAACAGGAGAGACAGATCAACTACGAGAAAGGTAAGAAACTTGCCCTAACTCCCACTTCCAAACACTATTTGGACTGAGTTAAGCAGAAAGGAACCAACCCACATTTTGGAAACAAATTGAGTTATAAGTGGTTTTGAACTCAACCACTGCTCTACTATCTATCGCCAAAAATTCAACGTTTTTGTTGGAGAAAATTTTGCAGAAATTGAACTTGAAGTTTATCTTTTACACTGAGTCTTATGGAGGAGCCAAACTTTAAACCTCTTTTTCTCGGTTCGATCCCGATGTGGCTTGGTTCCTTTCTGTTTAACTCCGTTCATTTCTCCATAGAGAAAAAAAGGAGGTATTTGCATTTCAGGCATCTTGGAATTTTTTTGATAACGTAGGTCGGGTCGACGAGTTTTATCATCGATTTTCTTGGAAATGGTGTAATTTATGGAAAAAAGTTATTCTATATAAAGTGCTTGAAATTATATCATGAGTTGATTTAAGCAAAAAAATCGGACATTATGGTCCGTTTTTCATACTTCGAATTCCGAATTTCGCTGGCCAGGTTGTACCGCGACCTACGTCACAGGGTAACAAACCTCAAGATGCAAACACCTCCTTTTTCTTCTCTATGCTATTTCTCATGCATGTATTCTATGTAGAGATCACAGATTACGGTAATCCCATTTCCCGGAACTAGTTCAAAATTCAGGAACTTCGGAGGTTTTCTTAAATTTTTCCGGAACTTTTGAAATTTCCGAAATGTTCCGGATCTTTTGCATATTCCGGAACTTTCTCGGAATCGTAACGTAATCGCCATGCGATCTAAGAATAAACGAATCTATCCAAAAATAATAATAATTAAGAAAAACAAGAATATGCACTTGTAACGGTGATGACATTGTCAATACGGTAGAGATACAAACCGTTTCGTTACAATTGCGATTTGCGAGCTGATGATTGACAGGAAGGGAGCAAAAGTATCGTAAAATAGTGATTTTTCACTAGAAACAGTATCTCTTTCAGAACAAAACGTTAGACTCTAGTCTGGAAACTCCAGAGAGCCAAAAAACGTTTTAGTTGTTTTTCCTACCTCAGCGTTAAAGTCTCCAAAATAGTGCATTGCCACACGGCTCTAAATGTTCGTTGGCCGCGACTCACACAACTAGCATCAATGTAATAGCAAATTTCTCACACCCAGCCTCTTTTTTGTGTTGCATTCAGATAATTTTAGGTTTCGTAGAGGCGTCAATTGAAACTCCATCAATACCATCTCTTCATTCGCGGTACCTTTCGTAACGGATCAAAAGTTCTCTAAAGCGTCAAGTACACCGAAAAAAAGTGAAGTTGATTTTACTTTCTGTGTGTCAAAAAAGTGTGCAAGAACTTATAAAATGCTGAATTACCCGCTGCAGCAGTTAGTTTTACATCTTGGCATTGCTAAGGTAATTGCTGTACACTAAAAAAAAAGTAGCTTGGATCCAGCATGATAATTCTTGAATTTGCCGCCAAGAATTTTCTTTATCTTGCTTTAAGCTGACTTTTTCTTGATTCAAGAAAAATAATGCTTGGGTTAAGCAAAAACGTAGCTTATATTAACCAGCAAAATTCTTGATTTAAGAAGAAATACTTCTTGGCGGCAAATTTAAGATTCTTTTTTTTCCAATGTAGCGGGTAATTTAGCATTTTATAAGTTCTCGCACACTTTTTTTACACCCAGAATGTTAAATCAACTTCACTTTTTTTCGGTGTAGTTTCTTGCCGCAGTGAGCTGGTCATGAAATTGATAGGCAGAGCGATAGACAAAAGCGTCATGCTGTTTGATTCAAATATTATTAAAAAAAAAGTCCATTCTGTTGCTCTGTTTACTCTCCGGAGTTCAACGAATTGAGATCGGAATCGGGCATAATGCACGGCGAGACGCCGAAAAGCCGGAGGGATGCGTCAAAGAGTTGGAACAGATGAAGAGCGCTTTTGATTTATACTCGGAGCTGGATAAACACTTGTAAGGACCAATTTACGTCGGGCACGGGCTAACGTAACCTCTCGTTTGTGTAATTCGATTTGTAAAACGCGTGTTTATGTCAATTAGAGCTGTCTGCCTCCGCCGTAGCCCGGCAGTGCGGCAGTGTGCACTCATTTTTACTCCTGGGTCCATCTCCATGCAGTGTTGCCGATTCGCTGGTCATGTCTGTCGAAGGTTCTTCAACATATCGTCACTTTCCGGCCAAAGTATAACAAGCGCCATGCTACGTTTCAAAATTTTAAATGTTAAGGTAGATTCGCACCTACCTCAAAGTTTGTCAAAATCACAGAATTCATTCTCTCGTATTTTGTAGTTTTTGCAGTGATAAATGATCGCAATCCATTGTTAAATGCAAAAATGCTGTTTTCAGATTTAGGTAGTTTATAGAATGGGTTGCATACCTTCCCCCTGAAATGAGTGTTTAATTTTATTTGAAAATTTCACCGCTTAGTGAAATTTGGACCGCGTCTAGCAGAAAGAAACCCACCCATATCAGCTATTGCCAATTTTAAGTGGGCAATTTGATTATTAAGAAGAGAATGGTTGTGCAGATCATTTTGAACGTTTTAAGGAATTCGCTTTGTGCCGTGCAAACAATTCACTGAAATTCGCTCAAAAATCCTCACAACCGTTTTCATGTAAAAAATTAAATTGCCCAATTAAATTTGGCGATGGCCGATGCGGCTTGGTTATTTTTTGCTCAGCGTGGTCCATTTTGACACCTCGTGGAAATTTTAGAATCCTCGTAAGTCCATTTTGCTCAATGCCACCCCGTAATCTCGTATATCAAATCAATATTTCCCACAATCATCGCAACAATGTAAGAGGCAAGTGCGAGCTCTATTCTCGAAGCCTAGACTGGTTACACACAGCCGGGACCTCAACCCTCAAGCCTCGAGGTACTGACCCACACTCCGANGGGGGGGGGGGGGGGGGGGGGTGGTCTTATCGACGTAATTGGAGCGGAGAACAAAACGTTTTTAAAACGGCCCTAAACGATCGGGACTTTTAATTTCGGTCCGGGGATCGATTTGAATCGAATTGAATTTCGGGTAAATTGCCAAAATTGAAGAGATTAACGCGTCTAGACCCCGGTCCGATTCCACGGAGCCAGAACCTGTAATCATCTCAAATTGCGCCCGCGACGGTCACGGCCACGGTGGAGCAGCGACGATTAAAATGTAAATGTGCTCGAGTACCCGCCATATGTCGACCTATTCACCTATCTTCTTTTCGGTTTCATCGATTATTTTTTCGGATTATTGATCCCCGATTCCATGATTTGATTTTCCTCCCTTTTGTTGCCGGGCGCCCTCGAGCGTTTTTAAATTTGGACGTATTTCTATCAAACGGAACTATGTGCATTAAGACATGAGCCCTGAGACTCATAAGAGTATGTGCATAACAGGGCTCACATCATAATGCACATGGTTCCGTTTGATAGAAATACGTCCATTTAATATGCTAGTTTGGTCTTTCAGGGAACACGAGGTCTGGGGCTCCTGGGCACCCATGGTTACTCTTTAAAAAAACAAAATTAAAATTAAAAAAAAAAAAAAAATAATAAATAAATAAAGTAAAGTAATCTCCCGTGTGGGTTTACTGAATTTCTCTTTGTCTTTAAAACGGAGATGAATTTCGGTAATAATGGTTCTGTTTTTCAAACCGTAATGTGGAAGAATATTGGAAGAAAGAAGCCCTGGGAAAAAACACATTGGATCTAGAGTCCAGACTCTTGAAAACATTGACGGGAAAAATGACTCTTGATTCAATCAGATTTAAGCTTATATCAAAAGGAAATTCGCTCAAATTAAGAGGCTTGGTTCTTGATTGAAACTTAAATCTGATTGAATCGAGAGTATTTTTTCTTGTCGATGTTTTTAAGAGTCTGCACTCTAGATCCAATGTGTTTTTTTTTCCACTGAAGAAAAATAGACTGGACATTAGAACATCTTGACAGTTTTTTTTTTATCTTTATTCTCTAAAATATGTACATTTTTAAAAACCGGAATAGGAACAGTGAATAGAAACACAGGAATGGTGAATAGGACTATAGAGATGGGGAAAAAAATTGGAAAATAATTTAGGATAGGAATATAATAGAAGGAATAAAACATTTTTGGAAAAAAAGAAACAAATACACCTAACCACCGGAAATGAAAGACTTTATAGGAAAGGAAATAGTATGAATTCAAGGAGGAAAATGCGTTTATCAAGAAAAAAATATGCTTAGATCAAGAATCGAGCAAAAATCGGCTTGAATCAAGCGATTTTACTTAATGATTTAGGTGAAATTCCTCTTGAAAGGTAAAATAAAAAATAATTAAATTAAAAATAAAAAAAACCGCTTGGATCTTGTTAGTTAACTCTGATAATCTTGTTCATGCATCGGCGTGAGGCATAAATATCAACTTTACAGGATCGCGACGATTATCCCAAGTGTTGCGTATGGTATAAGCAAAGGTATGAAGGCGCCTGGTTCAGGGAGCTCTGAGCATCTCAACATATTTATTGCCTGCCGCCCGGCTCGAGGATCATTGCAGCGGCCCACAAAAATCATTATCATTGCTCAGGAAATTGAAGGTTATTCTCCTTTTAATAATACAAACAAGGACTCGGAGGAAATTGCAGGCTGTTTATCAAATCTCTGCCGCAACCTCACCGCTGCCACCTTCTCCGGCGCAACTATTAGCGCACAGTGGATCGCTCATCCAGAGAGGTGGGCAAGAGGAATGAAACAACACCGTTCGTGCAGAACGATATGGTTGCAATGAAAGAGGAACGAAGCCATATCATTCTTATGGAGATAATTTTTCATCCCCCTCTTACAATTCGTAAAGCGGGCTGATTATTGATATTGATGGACAATTTGATGTAGACATAAAATACACAGAAAACATAGAGTGATCCAATTGGCTGATGTGGGTGGTTCTTATAGACTAAGGGGAAAAATGATGGACTACATAAAGGGTCTCTTATGGGTTGCCGGTATTTAGTTTATTGCCTACCTTCTTTG